CGAACCGTGAATTTTGTGTATCGTTGCACCCCTAGTAAACAGTATAATTGTGTTCTTAAGATGTATTTATTATTGTTGTTATTTTAGTTTGATGAGTGGCTGCTTGCTGGTTTCTACCAGAGACACAAATCCCCTTCGAGGCTTTCGTTTGTATTAAATATGAGTAAACAGTAAAACATGTTCCCAACTGCTAACAAACACATCCTTGTGGTTTATGCAATGATAAAAACATGCGAATAAAACAAGCTGCAATTCCTGCATTAGATGGATAAAATAACTGCAATGAAAAAGTCAGAACAAAGTCAATTACTCAAAAAAATGCATTTAGAAGCCACAATAAACAGGGCTGGGTTTAAAAGTAGCTCTTTGAATATAAATGTATTTTGCTAGAAACGCCAGAATCTCAGGGTAAAGCTTAGAAAACTGGCAGGCAGGTTTCATCCTTACAGAATCCACAGACATCCACATCACTCACACTCTCATAACACATACATGTAGGGCCTGCTACATGCTACATGGCATCCAGAGGACGGTCTGTGTATTCAGCCTCACCTCTGGCCGTGCTGGCACCTGCTGCTCTCTGGCAGCAGCACCATGCCCTCCCGTGTTTTAAATGCACTTTAGAACAACACGCAGCAGCACTACACATGAGCAGGAGGAAGGAGGTTTGGGGTCTTCCCCATAAATTAGAAAACGCAGTTTTTGCGTTGCAGTGTGGAAAAGCTAAAGCCAAAACAGAGGCTTTCGAAAAACGATAACGCATTTTAGTCACATGATGCAGTCATGCGACCAATTCAACTAAGATGATGGACGGCATGGTGCAGCACTTGTTTAGTCTTTTCCCATTTTTCACAGCCCCGTTAAAGATTACTATCTGTTTGCACATGCTCCCCAAAGCTTTTCTTCAAAGAGGACCAAATGCTAATTTCAGCATATTTGTTTTGGTCTATATTCTCACTCGCTTTTCAATTTTGTACTCTTGTGTTACTCGCAGCAACAACTCCACCTCATTATTAGTCCTTTTAAAAAACTCGGTGCTTTTCCTCGACATTTTGCCGCGACGTTTCAGAGAGTTGGAAAGTAAATAAACAGCAGACAGAAATGAGGTTGAATCGTCTCACGTTTCACGCATGAGCAGGAACGTAGGCGTTTTTAGTCGTTTCATTGTGGATGAAAAACTCTTCGGCTCCTGTGGACATGGAGCGTTTTTAGATGAAAACGCCATTTTCAAATTTATCCAGATTAGTGTAGACTAGGGCTGCCACGGTTAGTCGACTAGTCACGATTACGTCGACTATCAAAATCGTCGACGACTGATTTAATAGTCGACGCGTCGTTTGAAGCTTTGTAAGATCCACTTCACTACTCAGGTTAAACATGATATATGAGTCACTTAGATAACTTAAAATGTTATTTGTAATATGTAATGTTATCTTTTTTTTAGTATTTTATTTGTTCCTGAGTAAATCGGTTTGGCTGAGATTAAAGTTTTTACACAGCTGAATAAACCTCAAGCAGACAGCTGATTATCAGAAGTGTGAGATGCTGGAGAATTTACTCCGGTGTCCTGTTATATTTTAGACAGCAAGGAGTTTATTAAACTTCACCCAAACAATCTGCAAATTTCATTAAAATGTAATAAACTATCATCTTGTCTTTATTGTTAGTTAGCACCTTACACACTTAAAGCTGTAAGCTAATGATAGTTATATAAGAGCAGATGCTGCTGGTGCAATAAGCTGTAGTTTTACGTCCAATGGATGATGATCTGATTAGTCGACTATCAGAATAATCGTTTGTGGCAGCCCTGGTGTGGACGCAGCCTAATTCATGTTTTTATTTACAGATTTCTGCATCTAAGAAAAAAACCCACAAACAGAGAGAGGAGAGAATGATCTACAATAAAGCTAATGTCTCACATGTGTATGTGCTGGATGTTTTATCATTATTACCTGCTGCTGATCCTCCACCACTGAGTGCCTCATCTTGCCTCACTGTTGGGTTCTGGTTGCTTTTAGAGTGTGGCTGCTTGTCAGCAGCACCTAAATCCACAGAGTCATCTGAAACAGACTGACAAAGAGATGCTCTTAAGACAAAACTGTGGTTTCCTGTTTTTTATTGCTGATATGAAGGGACCACTGATCACAGTGACATTTTTGATATTACATACACAAAGAGCTCCCTCTGTTTGGCTGAGATACGAACACTTCTCAGTAAAATCACTTCTGATATTAGCCTTTCAGCACCAGCACAGTTCACATGCAGTCGGCGCTCTAAGGGGCGCTGACTGTAGGCTAATCTTTGCTGCTGGTCATTAATGTTTACAGGCAGTTCTAAATATAGGCCAAGAGGGGTACAGATGAAAAACCCACCACCCAAAATAATAAGTGACCATTTAGATTTTGATGATCAGAATCAGATGAATGAAAGACTTTATACGGGTAATTGATAGTGTGAGGATGATTTACAAACATCGGCACAGACGCATTAATGTTGCGTTACCTCTTTTAAGAACTGCTCAAACTGTGCGTCCAGCTCTTCTTTGGTTAGTCTGCGAGACATAATCACGCTCACCTCATCCACCAGCAGGAAACTAGGAAAGAACAACACACAATAAAACATTTTTATGAACATTATGAGAAGCATCACCCTCACCTACTTAATGCTCAGTTACAAAGAGTCCATATGCCATTCACAGAATGCTATTTCTGTTTTGTTGCATCATTCAAATGAATGAGAATAGTGTATGAAATATGTGAGATAACTAGGGTTTTGGCCCGGGAAGGGCTTGAAACAATTCACCCTATGAATCATCCAAACACTAATGTTATCATGTCCTTTCAAGATTTCAGGTTTTCATTTAACAGGAGCAGAAAGCCTGTTCAGAAGCACATCAGTGTAATTCACTGCAGGTCTGTTCACAACTACTAACATGCACAAACCGCACGCAAGG